CAGCGATGCTTTTCATGTCAAAACAAGTCAGTGTGCCAAAAATTAGCTCGATCCTGCAAAAAATAAATATCGGCCCAAAATGTTATATACGCCCTTTTTGCACGAAAGCCTTCAATTAATATAGTATTGTAAGAATAAAAACCTATCATATTACTAAAGCTGCTTTTCAAGGATGCCGGGTCTTTGTAATGACGCAGTTTATGTTTAAATTCGCCTAGAGAAACTGTAGATCGGAGTTCATGACAGAGGCTGTTCCACAACGTAGCCTGTAGGAAAACCTTCTCTTTAAATAATTGGTGCGGGGCTGTGGAAGAGCCAATTTATTCTCAGAATTCCTCAGTCGATGCGAAGTAATATCATTTCGAGATACGAATCGAGATTATTGACCGTCAGGGTTCAATCCATGTAAAGTTTTGAACATCATAACAGAGGTAGCTACTAGCCTTTGATGAATAAGTTTTCGCCAGCCGAGTGCCCGGAACAGCTTATCAATATCGTCTTCATTGCTTACATACAATATAATACGGGCTGCGCGGTTTTGGAGCTTCTGTAGTTTTTCAGAAAGGCTGAAACCGAAGCTGCCCCCAACCAACAGTACAGCAATCAAAATATGGTTGAACTAGGCTATTATACTCATCAATTAGAACATTAAAAGGAACAAGATGACGCATTCTTTTAATTTTAGCCAAAGTAGAGGCAATCTTTCTACAAATATATACTTTGTATAAGACAATTCCAGTTTATGTTTTGATCAATATGCGCCCCTAGCGATTTCGTGGATGGAGGCTGGTCATTTATCGTAAAAGATGGAATTTCTGAGATAGCTGATAGCCTCTGCCTCCACGCAGTTAACATAAATTCGATATTTGCAAAAGAAAAGCCATCGAGTTTTCGTTAGTTCTCGCCAAAACAGCAAAGTTTCTAAACGTGCCATTCAAAATTAGCGCTCTTGGACAAAAACCGGAAATGACGTAGATATGAGAGATCGCAAGCCTTCTGCTATAAGAAGCTTTGTGGATTTGCGCAAGTACGAATTGCGGCTTAAAACGTTGTCCTAAAAACGTCTGAGTGTTGCAGGCATGGTTGTGAACAGACCCTGGTTCCTCGCGTGGACAACATGCATTTACATCCTCCACGACAACCTTCACACATAGGGGAAGTGGGGGAGGGGGGAGGGGGGTCCCTTAGACGGTCGACGGTTACATTTTTGGTCATTTGACGGTTGACGGTTAATTTTTCAGAATGACGTTTATAACACGAAATGAAAGCGCAAATTTGGCTGTAATTTTTCGTAAAAGGATACAAGTTTGTCCAATAATTTGTGCACAAAAATCAGGTTTTTGGTCGTCAATTATTTATCTAATTAGCGTAATTACATCACCTTTATTACCGCTGGACATATTTTAATCGCCTGCTCCCGAGACTGCAAGTTAATACACGTGCACAAATGTATTTTTGAGATACAGTGAAACCTGTATTTAGCGGACACCCTTGGGACCCTCACTGGTGTCCGCTTAATACAGGGTGTCCGCTCTAGGCTGGACAGGTTCAGTAATAATAGTTAATTATTAACACAGTGTAACACAGTGTAAGATCAAAGACTGCTCATAGCACAGTCAATGCATCAATCTGGAATAATCTAGTTAGCTTTAAAACGACATCGCTGAACAATGTTAAAGTTGTCTGAGCTGAGCTTGTGGAAGTAAAAAGCCCTTGAAGTGTCCGCTTATCGCAGGTTTTGTACAACAAAATGGCTTCATGACCTTAATATTGGTGTCCGAGTGTTCGCTGAATGCAGGTTTATTTTACAGTAAATTTAGGACTCAAACTGGTGTCCACTTAATA